ACCATTCGAGAGTCATGTTGACCGCCATATGTATGCAGTAGCCAACAATGCAAAAATGGATGAAGAAATTGAGCGATTAAAATCAAATGTTGGTGCTTACATGAAGGCAATGGCAAGAACTGTTCCCATCAGTTGGGTGGACTTTCAAACTAAGGTACAAGAAGCTGGGAAGACAACAATGCGCATGTCCTTGAAAAAGGTATCATATGATTATTTAAATTATTACTTAGATTAGGCAACATTTGATGAAGAACGATTTGTTTTACGTTTACATTTATTAGTAAAAATGTTTAATTTTAATAAATGTGTATTTGCTAATTATTTTATTATTAAACAGTTTTTCGCGTGGTAATATTTTTAGACAGCCCTTAAATATGTTTTATATATTTTTTTTTCTTTAGGTCACTGAGATTGCTGTGGAATGTGGTATTAAGGAAGAAAACCTAATTTACGTCCTCAATTACCTGAATGATCTTGGAGTCATTCTGTACTCGCCCACTAACAAGAAGTTGAAGAACACAGTGATTACTAACATCCATATGCTGATTGGTGTCTTCATGAAAATCATCACAGATGTAGAACCTGGTGATGCTGACAAGGTACCGTATAGTTTTAAATGTATAAAAGATAGGCCAACAAAATACAATTTCAATTATTTGATTACAGTTCCTATTGGTGGAAGCAAGCGGATGGTAGTGGTGGGAGACAGGTGCACAGCCGTTCCGGGTCTCAAAAATAGAAAAAGAAATAATTATAGAAAATGTTGAAAAAGAGCCATTTACGGCTATCTAAAAGTGCTATAGGCATGCAACATCGTATGTCCGGCCCCACTATGGTGGGTCTGAGGCAGAGGTGGTACCATTGGGTGACATCAACAATTTAAAAAAACAATTTGCCTATCCAAACAACGTTATTTTGATTGCTAATCCGTAATATTGTGTTCTAAAAGCCCATTTTAGACTATAGTAAGTCCCCGTTGAACCCTACCAAGAATTTCTTATTCTGGGCCGTTCACAGAGGCTCTAGTCGGCCTGTTGGTTCCGAGCCCTCATTCGGCGATTTTGCCCTTGTCTGCAATTTCTGGCGTCACCACTGGTCTGAGGTAGTTTGAAGCCTCTATCTGTAAAATTGACTTTCTGGCCACCTCTATTTCGGATTTCTGGATCCGCCACTGGTTCCATAGTGAGGGGTATTACTAGTAATTCTGTTAGTGTTCCTGGGCTGTGTGGTGATAGGTGAAGGGGAATACTTTAGTAATTATATCATAATAATAGGTTTGTCTGTATGCATTTATTATAATATTTACAGTATATCAATCTCATGGTATCACTTTTAATTCTGGTCTCTGTTTAACTAATTTCAATCCACGAGAGATTTGAATGTAATTTTCATAATATCTTACATTGCCATAGTCTACTACATCCCCCGTCCATATAAAAAAAAATATGTGATCCAAGTGAGGCTTTTACAATTGTAACCACCATTTTGCCAAACACATTAGCTTTCGATAAGATTTTAGTTTTTCGATTTAAAAAAAAAAAATTTTTTTTTTTTTTTTTTTAAATATAGGTTCCAGTGATAGCAAAGTTTTGGCGTAAATTAGATAAAGAAGGGATTCTTGCAGAACCCTTACTGCGTTATTTGTGGGAAAATGAACTTACTGCCAGTGAAGATGATGATGACGTCATCTTTGAAGACTTCATTGAACTTATGAAGGAATTTGGACTACTCTTTAAAAAGGTATGGCCATTGCTATAGTACGTTATTGCATAATTGTAACTAGACATAGTCCGTTTCTATTAACTACGCCCGAGACGATGTCGTATATTGGAGACTCAAGGCTGTTAATTTTTGCTCATATGAAATCCTATTATATAATTTGGGAAAGTGGGAGAATACAATGGGTTTGTAGAAAGTTGGAAGGAGACCTATTCACCATGTCTATCTTCTCCCCTTCTCATTGTAATTAGTGTATAGGCCTATTAACTTCGATTTTTTTCGTTTATAAATGAAGAACGCATCAGAAGATGACCCACGATGTTTTGTCGTCCCTTCACGGATGAAGACCGAGCCTAATAATAGATTGGAGATTAAGAAAGACGATGAGCAGACAGTATCCATCTATGTGACGCCTAAAGACTTTCTCCCTGACACCGTCTATAATCTCTTGGTCGTTAGATTTGTAAGCCTGTGTCAGGATAGAGGAGGTTTTGATGATCCAAAGCTGTTTCAGAATAAGTCTGAAATAGCATTCGATGATAGTCATTACCTGAGATTAGGTCGGATATTCATTGACAGTAAACAGTGTTTAAAGGTAAATATGTCCCTTGGTTTTAAAATGCATATATTTCTTTATTATTCTGTTTAATTCCTTGTTGATTACAATGGTGCCATTGAGGTTTTCATGAATATGCTATATTCAGATTGATATTTCTCGTTTTTCCTTCCTCTTTTAAGCTTGAAATATCTCGGATGAAAGAGCGAGACGCAGACGGTGCAGACAAGCCAGCATGCAAGCCACATCCCGACATCTGTAAGGAGGTAATGACGTAATTGGCTGATTGTTGGTCATTTATGTTTATACTAAATTATGGATTTGATGCAAAGTGGCTAATTACAGTCCACTTACATTTGCTATAAAATGTTTATTTCATTTTACAGGTTTTGGATGTTTTAAAGCAAAACCTAGATGAGGTATATCCGTCTAAGAAAGTTGTTGGCTATACTCTGAACATACTTTGTTTAGTATGTTCAACTCCGGAGAAACCACACTTTCAGGAACTTGAGAAGTGCTTAAAGTACAAGAATATGACTTGTGATAAAACAGGTGAACGTATAGCAATGTCAACAGCTAATGTACAGAATCTATTTGTAGCAGGTATGTGATTGGATTTGATTTTTTCGAAAACAAACATAAAACTGATAAGAATGAAAAACAACATAGAATTTAAGATGTCCACA